GAGGAGGGGCAAAACTCCCCGGGTATTTATGTAGGGAGAAGGCGAAACGAGCGGGCGATGAAATCGGGGAGATTTCCCCCCAATCTGGCGCGGTTAAATGCGAGGACGGTTACGTCCCATCCACGCGCCCACGTCTCCCACATTAAATGCGAGGACGGTTACGTCCCATCCACCACGCCACGCTCGGCCACTACGGCAGCAGGTACCGTTTCGACTCCCAATAAAACTACCTCAAAAGGCGCGCCACTCGCGGCCGAGCCAATAGGGAAGATATTTCCCGTGGCCTGTTCCTTTCATAGGAAGGAACCGGGCTCTGAGCCTATTATGATCCAGGGGTTCGAAGGCTGGACCCCAAAAGGGTTTCGACAGCTGCCCCAGGATAATAGAGTCAGGGGCGACTACGGGCGAGCCTATTCGGGGCCGAGACCCAAGCGAGCGAAACACTTGGGACGCCCAAAGTCGTGTCCGAGACCGGCAGGAAAGTATCCGAATGGGATCCCACCGTAGGGAGGCACCGAGCCACCGAGGCCCAACGAACGGCCTCGGCACCCACTAGAGAAATCCTCTGGTACTCTTAGAGTGTGTCTCTGGACCGCTAGCCGTCCCCTAACGAACGGGGTTCGGGCCTCCACTCGGACTACCCGATAACAGCTCACCGGAAGTGCCACCGCTCGTGCCCATCGAGGGTAGCGAGCCACATTCCACCCCTCCTTCCGAGCGAAAAGGAAGCACGAGGGTCGCATAAAAAGTCAGGGGAACCCCTGACGGCCTTCTCGCCCTATGCAGAGGCTAGGGGGCTCCTCCTGCAAATATGCCAAGACCCCACGACCCGGGCTCGCGCCCAAAGGGGCCTCGGCAAACAAACCCTCACGCGCGAGGGGCGTATAAAAAGTCAGGGGAACTCCCGACGGCCCTCTCGCTCTGCGCAGAGGCTAGGGGCTCTTCCTGCGACCTTGCCGAGACCAGAATGGGCTCGGCAAATGAACCCTCCGTCCAAACGAAAAGGATATGTGAGGGGCGAATGAAAAAGTCAGGAGACCCCCGACCGTCCTCTTGCTCCAAGCGGAGGCTCGGGGGCTCCTCTTGCACCCAAAAACCAAGACAAAAACACGATAAAGGGCACCGAGCCCGTTACGGTCCAGGGGTTCGAAGGCTGGGCCTTCAAGAGGTTTCGACAGCCGCCCCAGGGCAACAGAGTCAGGGACGACTTCGGGGCGAGCCTACGAATGGCCCAGGCCCGAACGAACAGTCGCTCGGGGCGTCCTAAGTCGTGTCCGAGATCGACAGGAAAGTATCCGAATGGGATCCCACCGTAGGGAGGCACCGAGCCACCGAGGCCCAACGAACGGCCTCGGCACCCACTAGAGAAATCCTCTGGTACTCTTGGAGTGTGTCTCTAGACCGCTAGCCGTCCCCTAACGAACGGGGTTCGGGCCTCCACTCGGACTACCCGATAACAGCTCACCGGAAGTGCCACCGCTCGTGCCCATCGAGGGTAGCGAGCCACATTCCACCCCTCCTTCCGAGCGAAAAGGAAGCACGAGGGTCGCATAAAAAGTCAGGGGAACCCCTGACGGCCTTCTCGCCCTATGCAGAGGCTAGGGGGCTCCTCCTGCAAATATGCCAAGACCCCACGACCCGGGCTCGCGCCCAAAGGGGCCTCGGCAAACAAACCCTCACGCTTGAGGGCGAGAAAAAGTCGGGGAACTCCCGACGGCCCTCTCGCTCTGCCTTGAGAGGCTAGGGGCTCTTCTGGACCTTACCGAGACCAGAATGGGCTCGGCAAACAAACCCCTCACGCAGCGAGGGGCGATAAAAGTCAGGGGAACTCCCGACGGCCCTCTCGCTCTGCTTGCAGAGAGGCTAGGGGCTCTTCTGCGACCTTGCCGAGACCGAATGGGCTCGGCAAATGAACCCTCCGTCCAAACGAAAAGGATATGTGAGGGCGAATGAAAAGTCAGAGAGACCCCGACCGTCCTCTTGCTCCAAGCGGAGGCTCGGGGCTCCTCTTGCACCCAAAAACCAAGACAAAAACACGATAAAGGGCACCGAGCCCGTTACGGTCCAGGGGTTCGAAGGCTGGGCCTTCAAGAGGTTTCGACAGCCGCCCCAGGGCAACAGAGTCAGGGACGACTTCGGGGCGAGCCTACGAATGGCCCAGGCCCGAACGAACAGTCGCTCGGGGCGTCCTAAGTCGTGTCCGAGATCGACAGGAAAGTATCCGAATGGGATCCCACCGTAGGGAGGCACCGAGCCACCGAGGCCCAGCGAACGGCCTCATCACCCACTAGAGAAATCCTCCGGTACTTTTGGAGTGCGTCTCTGGACCGCTAGCCGTCCCCTAGCGAACGGGGCTCGGGCCTCCACTCGGACTACCCGATAACAGCTCACCGAAAGTGTCCACGCTCGCGCCCATCGAGGGTAGCATGGCACATTCCACCCCTCCTTCCGAGCGAAAGGAAGCGTGAGGGACATACCCAACGTCAGGGGGACCCCTGACGAACCTCTCGCTCCATGCGGAGGCTAGAGGGCCTTTTTTTGCAACCTCGCCGAGACCCCCGCAACCCGAACTTGCGCTTATGGGCTCGGCAAATGCAATAAGAACTGATCACTCAAACGCGAAAGTGGAGAAAGCCCCTGGAGGAGTAACTTCACTCCTCCAGGGGCTCGGGGGCTACACCCGGCGGGTGCGCTCGCGCGCACCCACCGGAACCTCAGAAAACAAACCAATTCCTACGGAGCAGGCATAAACCCAGCCTCGACGAACCCTCAGGGAGAGTGCACGCACTCACCCCGAGGCTCGGGGGCTACTGTCGGGTACCTTAGAACGGGGTACCCCAAGCAAACATCAAAATAAAGCTAGAAGGTAAGCCGTGGGCCCCTCACCTGCCACGACCGAGCCCTCCTCCACCTCGCCTCGAGCCTCGAGCAGGAGGTCTCGGAACAAACTCCGCCTCGCGCGAGGCTCCCCAGGGTAGGCCTCGGCAGGGGGCGCCGAGCCTCGGCAGGGGGCGCCGTCTCTGTCTCGCCCGAGGCTCTCTAGGGAAGGCCTCGGCAGGGGTACATTCTCCATATCGCGCGAGGCGTCTCGCGCAAGGCCTCGGCAAGGAACTTGATCTCCGTCTCGCGCGAGGCCTCATTCTCCGTGTCGCTCAAGGCTGGGTCGCCCGCAGCCCGTCACCCCCCGCCTCGACCGACCCTCCAGACAACGTGTCATGTCCCATTAATGCTTCAACCACTCCCGCAATCTCAGCCAGACGACGGCTCAACGCCACAGAATGGCCGACGCGACCCAAGGTCGCATCAGCGCCATACCGGCTGGGACAGGGTACGGCGGGGATTACCGGCCACTGTGTCCTAACGCTGTATCCACGATCTGCGCCATACCGGCTGGGATAGGGTACGGCGGGAATTACCGGCCACTGTGTCCTAACACTGTACCCACGATTAGCCGCCCACTCGAGGCCTCGGCACCGTACACCAAGGTCTCGGCCATCTTGGGGATCGTGCCTGCCGAGACCCCTCCACCATGGTGCAGCCTCGACACCGACCAAGTCTCGGCCTCGCGCGCAGTCCGTCCACAGTGGCTTGCACGTCCACCGCCGCGCCCACTCCGAGGCAGTCCCGGGGCTCCCACGACGCACAGGATCTGATAGGACGGCCATGTCGCCCCAGTGCTCCAAGGACGGACCACTCCGACGGCCACACCGCCACAGGAACAGGCTATAGGGCCCGGACACGCCGCCTCTGTTCACACGACGCCATATAGTTAGCTCATGTACCGCCCTAGTCCTCCCTTCATGCTATAAAAGGAGAGGACCTGGGTTGTTTTAAGGGGGGAGACACCTTGTAACACACACACACACACGCACACTCCTGCCGCCTGAGAGCAATGTCTCAAGCGGCCCGCACGGCACCCTGCCGAGACCTAGGACCAGCTCCTTCTCTCCTTTAGCTTGTAACCCCCTACTACGAGCACCTCTGTGCAAGAAATACAAGATCGATCTCTCAGACTGGACGTAGGGCCTCGATTGCCTGAACCAGTATAAACCTTGTGTCTCTTTGCATCACCATCCGGATCGAGAGCACGCAGAACAAATTCACTAGTCGGTTGAGGACCCCCGGTCCGAAACACCGACAATATGATAGGAGGGTGCATAGTGGCACATTTATACTTCTTCTCGGTTGCTAAGTCCTATCCTCCATTTTCGTTTACTTGACGCCACATCTTTTTTTTTCTCTCGAAATTCTGATCGTGCGTCTTTTCTCTGCACAAACTTTTTCATTACTTGAAAACTCACATTATATGATTTGCTTCGAAAAATACTTCATAAGTGTTATTCGGAGTTTTATGAACAATTTGCTTGTGTAGGTGGGGACATGGTATTTTCGGAGTCCTTTTGTGAGGAATTACAAAAGAGATCTTTTCAAAAAAAAAAGTGAATTAGAAGAGTTGGTCAACGAAATATGAATCGGAAACTCAATCTTGGTATCCATAAGAACAATACATTCTCGTTACCACGAGATGTATTGGCCGCTACAGATTATTTGATTATTTTTGAACTATATGAAAACCTGTTGTAGAGGAAAAAAAAACATATGATCAAAATTGCTCCAACAATTTATTGGTAAAAGCCATCACTCCTGCATCTCAAAGCGAGAGTAAAAAGAAGAGGAGAATCACTCTCCAGTCCCCATCACCCATCAGTACATGTCCGCGTCCGCCTCTGCTTCGGTTGTGCAGGCGGGCCATGCCTAGATGCCCTCCCCTGCAACACCACTGTCAAGCAGCGAGCGGCTTTCCCCCATCCCCCACACTCACCATGTCGTCTCCGCGTATCGCATCGCAGGCATACCTATAAATACCACCTCCCAAAAACCACACCTCTCACACAGCACTCAAGCTCCTCAAGCTCAAGACAACCGAGCAGCTTCATTCCACTCTCAACACCGACCTCAAGCAGGGATCAGCACTTTAGCAGCAGCAGCAGCAGGTAGCCATGGACATGGGCCGCCTCGAGCTCTCGCCATCCTCCTCCTCCTCCACCTCGGCGTCGTCCTCCTCGTCGGACCACAACAAGAAGGCGGTCTGGTCGCCGTCGTCCTCGTCCTCCCGCAGCCCCCAAGCGCGCCCGCAAAACGCACCAAGTTCCGCGAGACGCGGCACCCGGTGTTCCGCGGCGTGCGCCGCCGGGGCGCCGCGGGCCGGTGGGTCTGCGAGGTGCGCGTCCCGGGGAACCGCGGCGCGCGGCTGTGGCTCGGCACCTACGTCGCCGCCGAGTCCGCGGAGCGCGCGCACGACGCCGCGATGCTCGCCCGGACTCCGCGCGGCTGCTCGCCGTGCCGCCGCCGTCCGCGCTCGAGGTCGTCGCGGACTTCCAGCTCCGATTCGAGGCCGCCGCCATTGCCGGACATTGTTTCTGGCTCGGCGGCGACGTCGCTTGAGCAAGTACCTGGGAAGGCTGACGAGCCGGCGGCACTGGACGTCGAAGCGTTCGAGCCCGACTGGTTCGGCGACATGGACTTGGACACGTACTACGCCAGCCTCGCGGAGGGGCTGCTCATGGAGCCGCCGGCCGCGGCAGCCGCCTGGGAACATGGCGACTTCGGTGACGGCGGAGCGGACGTCGCGCTCTGGAGGTACTAGCTACTTAACAATAAGCTTTGACGATCCCCAACTGATTGTACCCTGTTATGACTCTGTAACGAAATTCAAATTGATTCCTGGCTAATTAACTTCAACGGTTCAAAATTTTCGTGTCAAACTTTTCGGTCTCTGTTCTTGTCTTTTGAGCATCGACACCTCGAGGTGCGTCCATGCAGTTTTTAGCCATAAACAGATCTTAAAGAGAGAGAGAACAGGAAAGCAACACATGCCTCAGAGAGTCCTTGCAAGAAAGGGCATCCGTTCATTTGCGAATTTTGCGACTGTAACTTTGTGAATTTGTGATGGTCCCATAGACCAAGACACGAGCAAATAGTGGAGGCAACTTTCACGTGCTGGTGATCCGGTCCCAGTGACTGATCCAGAAGATGTGGCCATTCCACTTCGGACCCAGTCCGGTCATTCAACCTGCTCTGCTGGCTGAAGCCACTCGTTGAATCTTCTTTCCTTCTTGCAGTCAAAATCCTTCCAGTGAGTTACGCGAGCTGTCGCTTCACTGGGCGGAAGGGAAGCAGCGGCGGCGCTCTTTTCCCACAACGCGGTGAGGTCTCTTGTCTCATCGCCCCTTTCGGCCTTTCCAGAATCCCTAGAGCCAAGACCCAAGAAGGCAAGAGACGCGAGCTGTGATGTGGGTTAGAAATGATAGGTAATATAAACGACGAAGAATAGTAAATCAAATACAGGAGACATGAGATTTTAACGTGGAAAACCCTTTCAAGGAATAAAGAAAAAACTTCGGACACCAGCCAGCAAATCTTTACTATATCGGGTGAGGTTACAAACATCGGGGATTTACAACTTTTCTTATCCTAAGACGATGGCTTACAGAAGGTATATATAGAGATGGAAACTGGCAACGGGCCTCGCTTCGCTCCGGTAGAAGTTAGCATTTATCTTGTACATAATTGAATTTGGATCACAGCTATGTAGAGGTCGTCTCAATATTCCTAGATGGCCGTTTCAGGCTCCACTGTGAGTACAACAACTGAGGGCAGAATTTTTTTTATAGTCTTTTAATTGAGGAGAGTATCCGGAGTATCAGGTGGCAAATTTTGCTTCGACTGCCTGTTCGCTGCATACAGATACAGGCACACGGCTAGCAGGTCTTACACGCGGGTAACTGCCGAGCAGGAGTCACGAGAACTAAACAAAATCGATCAATCCTCGGGTCTCATGCTCCAAGACCAAAGTTTGCAATTATGTTTTTATCTTTTCATGTCCTAACATTGCTTCATGCTGAGTTGCTGACTGTGGTCTATCGGTCTATGGATGGCCAAGGAAAGACACTGCTGTGGCATCGCAGACTTTTTCTTATGCCAATCTGGAATACCAGCTTTGTGCGTTGACATCTGGATGGCCAACGCAGGCTTAGACCTTCAAGATCTTCTCTAGTCAACTGAGGAACCCAAAACATGGTCGTACCTCAGCAAAGAGATTGAACCGCAACGTTGTCACCGGCCAAGCACGAGCCACCGCGGGCAAGGCAACCAGGCCAGGAGATCAGCTTTGAAAAGTCAACGGAGACCAGACCACACGCCATGAAGCTGATAGTGTCCAGTGACGGAGTGACACCCCGAGGCCAAGGCAAGTAGGCAGTCACTGACGTCGGACCCCACCCCACCACCGCACCGCCGCAGTGGCTGACTTGGACCGCCACGCACGCCGATCCTCCACGCCACGCTGTCCATTTCCATTTCCAGCTAATCGCTTCTCCCTCCCCGCGGCACTGACGACCAGTCACCAACGTACCACCTGCACTGCACCGAGTTGGCCAGTTACCTACCTATATATATTTCCTGCCTCCTCCCCTCCCTCCATCCAAGTCCGAGCTCCATCGATCCCAGCACGACCGGAGCCACAGCCACCACGCCTACAGGATCTTCAGTGAGTCTGCAATGGACACGCCCTCGCCGCCGCCGTCGTCCGCGGAGCAAGAGGGGTACCGGACGGTGTGGTCGGCGCCGCCCAAGAAGCCGGCGGGTCGGACCAAGTTCCGGGAGACGCGGCACCCGGTGTTCCGCGGCGTGCGCGCGCCGCGGCCAGGCGGGGGGCGGGGAGGTGGGTGTGCGAGCTGCGCGTCCCGGGGCGGCGCGGCTCGAGGCTCTGGCTCGGCACCTTCGCCACGCCCGAGCTGGCGGCGCGCGCGCACGACGCCGCCGCCATCGCGCTCACCGGCCGCGCCGCCTGCCTCAACTTCGCCGACTCCGCGTGGCTTCTCCCGCCGCTGATGCCCGCGGCGCTGGCCAGCGCGCGCGAGGTCAGGAACGCGGTCGCCGAGGCCATCGGGGCGTTCCGGCGGCGCTCGGAGGAGTCGGCATCGGCGGCGGCGGAGACGACGGCAGACGAGGACGAGGAGGGCAGTGGCTCTTCTGGCGCAACGCCGTCGCTGGACGTCACGTTCGAGCTCGACGACATGTTCAGATTCGGCGGCATGGTTGATTCCGCATCGTACTACGAGAGTTTGGCGCAGGGGCTGCTCGTGGACGCGCCGGCCGCCGCCGCCGAGCGGGAGCGTGGTGGGAGGGACGTCGAGCATGGCACCGCTGACATCGCACTGTGGAGCTACTAGCGCATTACCAACCTGCTTCTCACAAATTCCAGATGGTTTTGTTTCCCAATCGAGAGAAACAGTGCATCGGATAGTGAGGGATTTTACAATTTTAGAACCAGTATTGTGCTACCTCTCTTGGTGCTCATGCTTCCTTTCTTAATTGGGGAAGCTAATTTGTAGTTTTTTTAGAAATAAAGAAGAATGGCTCAGACATTTTCTAAAAATCTGGGGATTACTTCTGTGTTGAAACCTGTGCATACTAGCAAGATTGGCGCGCTACGCGCCGCGCCTCTAGAGGATGCGCTTCATCGTAATTGGTGATGAAGAGATAAAATGTAGATAAGAGCGCTCTATGATTTGGAGTGTACATGCACTCGATCAGGCAGATAATCGAATTACTCAACAAAAGTTAGGAAGGATGGTCATTCTATGTGACACTGGTAGCGCATAAAAAGGCATCCATAGTACCATTAGTGTTCTTGGGATGTGCACGCTGAGCCAATAACGGCTCATTTATCAGAGGGGAGCTAGGACGGCACATGAGCATCCAAAAACGTGTACCTGGTGGTGAAGATGGCACTAGCATGGTTGATGATGACATCCTGGGTGCTCCTCAGATACGATAGATCCATTGGAGGAGAGGCCGTCGGAGAGGAACGCCTCGCAGCATGGCGGGCTCCTCGTCAGCGGTCATCGTAGGCAGGTGGGCGGCGCGGGGACTCAACTGCAGAGCACCGCGCAGGTGCACATATGCCTCAAAAAGGGGACGTTGCTCGCGTTGGAAACTAGAAAAGCGGTTGTTGCCGCACTGGCGCGGGTGGGACACAAATTGGGGGTGTGGCCGGAACACCACGACAGGAGAGAGACAAAGGGACGTGCGTAAGGAGTGAATATAGCTTAGGGGAGGTCAAGTTTGTTGTGTTACAACGACGACGGCCGGGTTGGGGCGGCCTAGCCAGCGCGGGCAGCAATGGAGAAGGCGGCGCATGCGGGCATTGGGGCTGAGGTCTATAGGCGGAGATGGAAGGAGGCGGTGAGCAAGAGCGTCCTGGAACAATCAATCGTGAGGCAACGATGATGCCTTTAACCCTTCGCGTGAAGGATGCACGCGACCAGCAAGGTTGGGCCCACGCCCCATGGAGCAAGCACCGAGCTGGAACTGCCACGCGTCTACTGCGTACTGGAGACGACCGAAGCTAGCGACATGCAGCGGATACGCGGCGGGACATCACTGGTGACAATAGTGTGTAGTGATCGGTAATTTTTTTTAGCACTCGCATACAGTAACCTGATGCCCTCGGAGGCCGGCGATCTTTGAAGCGATGGATGTATCTCTAATAACTATCGGTTGATGGCCGGATTATGCGAATCGTGAGTGTGACGACGTCGGGCACCCACAAGGCACACGAACACCGGCGGAAATGGCACCAAGGCTTTCGTGAGCCTACTTTTCCTGCGTGCTACGGATCAAACTATATATTATGGGCTGCAACAATAGGATGAGTTTATAGATGGCCAACGGGCCGGTCTGGCACGGCACGGCACAGGCCCATGAAAGCACGGCCCGATGGGGGTCGGGCCGCACGGCACACGACGTGCCTCCCGGCCATGCCTCACGAGAGGCCACGGGGCCTGGCCTCCGGCCGAGCCGCGGCACTATGGGCGATTACCGTGCCGGGCCGCCCGAGAAGCATGGCCAATTTTCCACGAGCCGTGCCAGCCGAGGCCCACCGGCCGCCGAGAGAGAGAGGGAAGGGCAACGCCGCTCGAGACGTGTAGGGGGTCGACGCCACTCTCCGCTGAGGAGATCGACGCCGGATCCAGAGGAGGCTAGCGCGCTCGCCACTCGCCGGATCCGATGCACCGGTGCCGGATCCGCCGCCGCTGTTCACTGGATCCGCCGGAGAAGGGAGGGAGGGAGGACGCGGGGAGCGGATCCGCCACGGAGGAGGAGATCCACGTCGTCCCGCGCTAGATCCGCGCCGCCCCTGCCACTAGTGGAGAGACGGGCTTTACTCCCGGTGGAGAACCCCCTCTAGTCCCAGTTCCCCACCGGGAGCAAGCATCCGGGACTAAAGGGGGGGTCCTTTAGTCCCGGTCGGGAACTGGGACTAAAGGCCCCCCTTTAGTCCCGGCATATAACATCAACCGGGACTAAAGGTCCTCCCAGCTTTAAAAAGAAATAACGCCTCCACCGCTGCGTCCCGTGAGATTCGAACCCAAGACCTCATGCATTGCCTCGCGCGTAGCTTACCACCCCACCTACACAACACATCTAACAATGGATGGGATGCTTTCCTTTTGAACTAACCCATCGGAGGACCTTTAGTCCCGGTTGGTGTTACCAACCGGGACTAAAGGTTGGAGGACTTTTAGTCCCGGTTGGTGTCTCCAACCGGGACTAAAGGTCCCCTGCCACTGTGCCGAGCGC